TCCGATTTCCAGTGAGAAGCCTGGTTCGTTCCCACCATCTACTATCTATTTCTTAATTGTTCAGTTCCGTTATTTTTTATAGTGGTTTCAGAATTGTTAACCTCCTTTCAACTGGAATACAGTGCTTATTATACTTCTTCTTGCCTTTAAAGACCCCGACTCATTTTCAAATTTACTTTAATTAGTATCTTTTTTCCAATTACTTTTTATTTCCTGAATGTAGCATATGCTTTCACACTTCTTTGTCTTTAATTGTGCCATTCCCTCTGCCTGAGACGCCCTGGTTTTTGTCCTTTTCTCTTTGAAATATTGCCACTCATTCTTCTAGACCCAGCACAGATTTTTGCCTGTACCAGGAAACTTTCCCTGGCCACTGTCAATAGACTTCAGTCACTCATTCCTCTGTGCTCTGATAGCACCTACCTCTACCACACGTGTGTCAGGACTCTTTATTTGCATTTCATTCCGCTTCACTTGATGGTACGTTTCTTGAAGGAAGAAACCAAATGGATTTGTCCCTGGATTCCCAGGACTTAACTCTATTGTGTTATATGTTGTATGTTAGAAATCCTCTTGGATGAAAAATAACAGAAAATCTAACCATGGTTAAAATACTTAAGGATTTTTCTTACCTACAAAGAAGTCCAGAGGAAGGTGGTAACCAACATTGGTTTACCTGTTCATTGGTGCCATCAAGAATCAGACCCCTTTCCTCCTCTGCACGCTGCAGAACACTTCCCTCCTCTGCGCACTGCATCCTGAGCTTAGATGCATTGCATCTAAGTTCAGGAAAGAGGTAGGGTGAGTTTGTGCCAGTAAGCTATCCTCTGGCCCCTTTCCCTCCATAGGGAAGAAAGACTTTAGCCCCTTAGCAGACTTTTTTCATCCAGAACTTGGTACCATGTCTCCTCCAACTGCAAGAGAAATTAGAAAGTTGAGTTTTTAGTTTTTAATCTTTTGAATGAGAACAAGATGTTGGAATAATCACAGATGCTCCAAGTAGTCACAAGACTGCAAGGAAGTCAGGGATCTGTTTCCTATTGGATAAAAGACCTAAGGATCGACAGAGGACCAGTCCAAGAAGTCTCTTCAAGACAAGAGGGAAAAAATGAATGATCCCAGTGGGAGTAGTACCTGACCGTTACAGGTAGAAAGCCCAGGTTCATCTATTGAGGAATCTAACATACTCTGACCATCCACTTTAAAATCTTAGAGAATTCTGTATTGCTCTGGAAACTTTCAGCTTGTCTTCTCATGTAGAAATCGTATTGTTCTTATTAACTTCACTTTTTGTACTTTGGCCCCTTTTCTAAGTATCATGCCTCCTATGGTTTTGCAGTCAAAATTCCTGACATTCCATGGTAAGTTTGCCTTGCTTTTTTGCAAGTTATAACTAGTTACATAGCTTCTACCTACCTAAATTCTTTGTTCTTTTGAAATTAAGGAGATACAGTCATTTGGACATCTTTATTCACTAATTCTGTATTTCAGATTTTTTATATCTAACAACTATTTATGATTTGAATTTTTTAATAATATTCCATTTTATAACAGGGCAGCTTTATTGACACATTAACCCAAAACATGACTGGGTAAACCCTGTGTACAGGTACAAGTACCTCCTGCCATCTGGTATACCTAGAGATAGGGACCTTTGCAATGAACAGGAAAACAGAAGTCTCATTAAGGGACAAACTACATTAATCTCATCCTTGTACATTTTTTAACTAGAATTTATAAGGACTGATAGCACATAAAGTATATATGTAACTTAGTACCCTTTCTCAGCCCACCAAATCTGATTAATGCCTCCGGAAGTTACTACAATGCACACAAACTTGAAATGCCAGGTGGATGAGTTAAAATAGATTTCATTCTGATCCAGCATCATGATTTTGGAAACAACTTCCAGAGTAATTTGAATGGTATGGATTGAGGCTGCTTTGAGATGGAGTGACATGAAATCCATTAAAGAAATAACTTGTGAATCCCAGTAGCTTCTAGTAAGTACCTGGTGTGGCCACCTTTAAGGGTGGTCATGGTGAGCAAACACTGAGCATGAGCTTTCCATTTTGAAGCTGCAGAGTGACTGATGTCATAGTGTGATCAAAGTGCTCTGCAAATACTTACTGTAATTATTGTTGTTCTTCTGTTCTTGCTAATAGCCTTATTTATACCCTGAAATTATAATCATCCAAACAAAGATGAAAACAAGATGTATGAGTTTTCTGAGCTGTTTGCCTCACAGATGGTCACCCTTGGAGTTCTCCGAAATTGCTAGGGTTAATTGAAGCTTCAGTCTTCACTGCAGTGTAGTTGATACTTAAGTGTTTCTTACCTGTAGGCACTCACTATCCAAAAACAGTACAACAATAGCACTTTAATTTGCTCTCATTAATGCTAGCCTCTCAGGTAATATTAGTGCAGTTTTATCTAGATGATGTTTGTTCCTCTGAATGAAATCTTTGTACCAGCTTCCCAGCTGAGAAGAAAAGCTAAACAGTTACAAAGAGAAAAACACTAATGTCTCACTAATTTATTTATTTAAAAGATGTTCAGAACCCAGGAAACATCAAAGGGGAGTTAACTTTTAAATGGAGGGCAGGCATTTAGTGTGTGATTAACAGTGGTTTCTTTCCCTGAGATTTCACTGAGCTGAGACAACTGGGAATCATTCTTGGGGAGCCTAACAAATAGTTTTTGCTCAGAGCCAGCTGACTGCTCCAAGGATAATTGTTATAGACTCACACAAACAGCAGTACTGTTTGCTCTAGTTCTTTGGTGCTCTTCTACCAGTATTGAGATGTAAAAAGGCAGTCATAGGATCAAGCTTAGATAGAAAGGAAGTAAGTCCTTCTTTGCCTCTACTCCTCAGCTGTGTAAAAGTAGAAGACCAGTATTAAAATGTTCCATTATTTAGGTGATGCAAGAGCACTTTGTATCTTGAGTTTGGAATACTGGAAAAAGAATAACTATGCTTTCCTAATTCTGGGCACTAGTGTCTCCCATTGGCATTGTTTGCTATTTAATTAAGGCCCAAGAGAAGAAACAGAACTGCAAAAGATGAAGGGGGTAAGGAGGGAGACGGAATTCTGGGTCTCCTTAAATTAGTTACAACAAATTAACAACTTCAGTAAAGACTGGAGAATCAATGCTGTGATCCTTCTTGCATGTGTGGTGTACAAAAGTAGAAAGCAAATGGGTGAACTGTATGTATGTGAATAGCAAAGATGTAAAAAAACAAAATAAGGAAAAAGAGCCTGGACTCTCCAGTTAGACTGACTGGGTTCAAATTGAAGTGTCATCAGTTATGGATTGGGTGACCTTAAACATGTTCTTTTATGTCATCCTGTATGGACTTTTCCTCTATAATGTGGATATAAAAGCAGTACCCCTTGATAGGGAAATAGAGGTTAAATAAGGTAATACATATAGGGGTGCCTGGGTGGCTCAGTCAGTTTAGCAGCTGCCTTTAGCTCAGGTCATGATCAGGTCCTGGGACTGAGTCCCACATTGGGCTCTCTGTTAGGCAGGAACCTGCTTCTCCCTCTTCCTCTGCCTGCAATTCTCCCTGCTTGTGCTCTCTCTTTCTGTCAAATAAATAAATAAAATCTTTTTTTTTTTTTTTAAGATAATACATGTTGAAAAAAAATGAAACAAGATGGGATTGGGAGGGAGACAAACCATAAGAGACTTTTAATCTCACAAAACAGAGGTTTGCAGGGATTAGGGGGGTAGGGGGAGGGTGGTTGGGTTATGGACATTGGAGACGGTATGTGCTGTGGTGAGTGCTGTGAAATGTGTAAGCCTGACGATTCACAGACTTGTACCCCTGGGGCTAATAATACATTATATGTTAATTAAAAAAAAATATATATATATAGGTAATACATATAAAGTACTTAGAATAGGGCCTCACAGGGACACCTCAGTGGCTCATACATTTAAGAATCGGACTCTTGATTTCGGCTCAGGTCATGATCTCAGAGTTGTGAGATCCAGCCCCATGTGGTGCTCCACACTGAGCGTGAAGCCTGCTTAGGACTCTCTCTCTCTCTCACCCTGCATGCATGTCCTCTCCCCCTCATGCACTCTCTCTCTCCTCTCTCTCTCTCAAAAAAAAAAAAAAAAGAAAGAAAAAAGAAAAAGAAAGAATAAAGAAATAGGGCCTCACACATGGCAAATACTTCACTCGTTTATTAATTGAGATTTACATGAAAGATAAACTGGGATTGGGCATTTACTTCCTTAAAGACTTTTTCAATTTTCAAAATTTAGTATGGAGTATTTCCTTCAACTGAAATTGTCCTTTTTATTTAAAAAGTACTTAAAACTATTATTCTACAAAAATTAAATTCGCAATTAAGAAACACGTTTTCATGTTTGTAACATGAAATATCCTTGTACATTACATATTCTGGTAGAATATGGTATAGTTTGTTGGTATGGTAAGACAGGTGAATCATTGTGAAAAGGGATCCATTTTTAGTAGAAAGCAAAGCATCTAGCCTAACTATAATGAGAAACCTAAGTCTGTTAGAAAATTTGGAGGTAGGACAGAGATCTCTTCCTCATAAGTCAACCTATACCAAGGCGGCTGCTTTTGCTACACACAATGTGGTAGCAATGATGAGTCCAGAAAAGTAGTATTAAAACTGTCTTCTCCTTGGCTTGTCATACTGTATGTGGAACCTGAGTCATTTTGTGTATTTGTGCTTTTCCGTGTATTCTAATATAAATGCACACTTAGCTATATCTAAGCTGGCAGGAAGTCTATCAGCATTTCATGACATACTGCTGTATACTTATAAGTATAGTAATGTTATTGATAATGAAATTCTGTCACTCTGATATTTGTATGAGTTTCAGTTCCTTTCTGAATCCGTTCCTTTGTGATTTCTCTAGCCAGTTAACTACTCATGACTGAGTCATGGCATTGAAATCGCAGAGGGCCTTTGCCCTAAAGTCATGCTCATTCTGTTTCATTTTGACCTTGACAGGACTTGATAGGAAGAACCACTCTGGGATGGTGAGCTGCAATTGGGAACCTATAGGCAAAGTAAGTAAAAGAAATACCATTTGATTGTATGGACTAGAATTTGATATGGCAGGATTAGTTTAAGCTAAGTTAAATGAAGGATGAGGACCTCAGAACTCTTCAGGTGCTTCCAGTAGTACATAAAAACTTTCTGAACACCAAACAAGGATTTGCGGAGATTTTTGTTATCTTCATTTTTCTCTGCTCTGAACTGGAGGAACTCAAACTAAATATCAGCCTTAGCAGCAGTAAGCACACTAAAACATGCCTAGAAAATTCTTACCTGTGTTTCTCACTTTTAGATTGCCTCAAGTTTTGTTTATGACAAACACTTGATAATTTGAAACTATAATGAGAAACCTAAGTCTGTTAGAAAAACTGCATTGTAACTATCTGGCCAATATTCAGACCTTTACTTCATACAAGTGTACTACTTACCCAGGTTATGTTGCCCTCATGAAACAGAATGATAAGTATTCTGTCCTCTATTTTCTGAAAGACTCAGTGTAAGATTAGTGTTATTTCTTCCTTAAGTATTTGATATTCACTAGTGAAGCCATAGAGGCTTGTAGTTTTCTTTGTAGGCAGATTTTGTGTTTATTTGGGGTTTGTTGTGGTAAAATATACGTAAGATTTACCATTTTTATCTTTTGCAAATATACAGTCCAGTGGCATTAAGTATATTCACATTGTTGTGTAAGTATCACAACTTTCCATTTCTAGGACTTCTTATTTTTCCCAACTGAAGTCCTATACCTATTAAACATTTAATTCCTTCGTGGCAGCCTACTACCATTCTACTCTCTGCCTCTATGAATTTTTGACTACTCTAGGAACTTCATAGAGGAGGAATGATACAACATTTCTCCTTTTATGATAATTGGCTTATTTCACTTAGCATAATATCTTCAAGGCTCATCCATGTTACAGCCTGTGTCAGAATTACCTTCTTTTTAAAGGCTAAATAACACTCCATTTTATGTATATGTCATTTTGTTTATCTGTTCATCTTTTGGTGGACACTCAGCTTGTTTCTACCATTTGTCAGTTGTGAATAATGTTGCTATAAACATGGTATACAAATACATCTTCAAGTCCCTGTTTTCACTTACTTTGGGTATATATCCAGAAGTAGAATTGCTGGATCGCATGGTAATTTCATGTTTAATATTTCGAGGAATTGCTGTACTGTTTTCCACAGCATCTGCACCATTTTACATTCCATCCAGCAATGCACGAAGGTTCTGATTTCTCCACATCCTCACAAATACATTTTTAAAAAATAATAGCCATCCTAATGGGCATGATGTTTGTTTTGCTTTTAATTACAAATTTAATTTATTTAGTACATTTGGGGCTATTTAAATTTTTTTTCTTGTGCTGTTTTGGTAAGTAATTATTGGTATATTGTGGTTTTGAAGGCATTTATCCTTCATATTTTTCATAATACCTCCTTATTAGCTTTTCAATGTCTGTAGGGTCTGTGGTGATGTCCTCTCTTTTATTCCTGTTATTAGAAATCTGTGTTTTCTGAAACACAAGTGCTTGAGATCAGTCTTGCCAGAGGCTTACTAGTTTTATTAAAGAGTCAGCATTGATTCTGATTTTCCCTGTTTTATCCACTTTCTGTTTCATTGATTTCTGCCTTTAGTTTCTACTTCCTTCTTTCTACTTACTTTGCATACTATTTACTGTCTTTCTAGCTTTTTAAGATTGAAACTGGATCATTGGTTTGAGATCTCTCTTCCTTTCTAATAGAAACATTTAAAACTATCAATTTCCTTCTAAACATTGCTCCAGCTGCATCCCATAAATTTTGATATATTAAGATTTCATTGTTATTTAGTTCAACATATTTTCTAATTTACCTTAAGACTTACTAACGCATGTAAATCTGACATATAGGTTATTTAGAAGTGTGTTGCTTGGGGTACCTGGGTGCCTCAGTTGGTTGGGCATCTGCCTTTGACTTAGGTCATGATCCCAGGGTCCTGGGATCCAGCCCCACATAGGGCTCTCTGCTCAATGGAGAGCCTGCTTCTCCCTCTCCTCCCCGCTCTTGCTCTTTTTCGCTTTCTCTTTCTCTCTCAAATAAATAAATAATTTTTTTTTAAAGTGTGAAGCTTAATTTCCAAATATTTGGGAACTTTCTAGATATCTTATTATTATTTAAAGTTTGAATAAAAAAGCAAGAGCCAACATTATGCTCCTATAAGAGAAGCACTTTATTTATGTATATTTTTTAAAAGAAGCACTTTAAATGTAAACATATAAATGCAGTTAAAATATATATGTAACATATAAAACACTGCATAAGACAGCTGGTCAGGTTATATTAATATCAGACATAGTAGACTTGAAGAAAATAGGTATTACCAGAGATAAGGAGGAATATTTATTAATGAGTCAATTCATCAAAAATATTAACACTAGGGGGTGCCTGGGTGGCTCAGTTGGTTAAGCGACTGCCTTCGGCTCGGGTCATGATCCTGGAGTCCTGGGATCAAGTCCCGCATCGGGCTCCCTACTCTGCAGGGAGTCTGCTTCTCCCTCTGACCCTCCCCCATCTCATGCTCTCTGGCTTTCTCAAATAAATAAATAAATAAATAAAATCTTTAAAAAAAAAATATTAACACTAAATATTGTTATGGCCAGAAAGCATACCCTGTAGGATTTTAATACTACTGAGACTTGTCTTACAGCCCTGCATGTGTGGTTTGCCTTGGCAAATGTTTCATGTTCACTTGAAAAAAAATGGGCATTTGGCTATTACTAGATATAGTGTTCTTTCTGTATGTCATTTAGGTCAAGTTGATAATGTTTAATTCTTCCATATCCTAATTGATTTTTTCTATTGTTTTCTTAATGTACTATTTATTACTGAGAGAGGGGTATTAAAATCTCCAAGAATTACTGTGAATTTACTAATTTCTCCTTTTAAAAAGTTCTGTCCAATTTTGCTTCATATATTTTGAAGCTCTATTATTATGTACATGCACATTTAGGATTTTATGTCTTGACAGATTGGCTCATCATTACTAAATGTCCCCTTTTATCTCTGTAACAGTCTTTTTTTTTTTTTTTTAAGTCTACTTTGTTATTAAATAACAAAAATTCAACTGGATAAATTTTTTTTTGTTTTTTTTGTTTTTTAAGATTTTACTTATTTGTTTGACAGAGAGCGAGACAGTGAGAGAGGGAACACAAGCAGGGGCAGTGGGAGAGGGAGCAGCAGACTTCCTGCTGAGCAGGAAGCTCAGTAAGGGGGCTCAGGATCATGACCTGAGCTGAAGGCAGACGCTTAACAACAGAGCCACCCAGGCGCCCCTGAGTAAATTTTAAAGATTTAGTTGGCTTTATTAACCAGTTCACAAATTGGGCAGTATTCCTTCTAGCATGTAGAGAGGAGTTCCAAAGGACTGCAGAAAGGAAAAGGTTTTTAAAGTAAAGAGGGGCTGGAAACAAGGAAATTATTAGCAAAGAATCCATTGTTTTAGGCAACATTGCCCTCCTAAGGGGAACTGAAGGGGTCTTCCAATTAAGTCCCTAGTGCTGACCAGGAAATTCTCATGTTGACTGGTAAAAGGCTACATTTCTGAGGGATTAAAACTGCAGTTATGTTAGGTATTAATTCTTGTTTACTGACTTGGGGCCTTAACTAAGTGATGCCATTTTGGGCCTGTGGTTTTGTTTTTAACATTATTAATATAGCTCCACTGGTTTTCTCATGCAGCGTTCATACAGTATCTGTCTTTATTTTATTTGTATCTTCGTATTTAAAGTGCTTCTCTTATAGACAGTTTATGGTTGGGTCTTGATTTTTCATACAAATTGATAACCTATGTCTTTTAATTGGACTCCATTCACATTTAATGTAATTATTAATATAGTTGGGCTTAAATATCTCATCCTAGTATTTGTTTTCTTACTGTCCTTTTTGGTTTTAGTTCCTCTGTGCTTCCTTTCCTGCCTTCTTTTGGGTGATTGGAATATTTTTAGCTACACTTACTTGTTTTATTTCAAATAAAAATACTGCTTCTTCATACAGTTTCATTATGCAGATAATATCTTAGTTAAACTGCAATTCAAGTTAGCATATGCCAAAAGAGTTCAGAGAGGGTACATAAAGAGAGTGGAACAATCTGGTGGCAGAAATCAACTTTCTCTACCAGAATTCTGTTTGGGGTTGACCCTGCCCATCTTTTCTTTTCCCATCACAAAATGGAACCATGAACTCGTAGGCATTCAGCTAACTTGATAGTCATAACATTTCATTTGCCTCCACCAAAGAGCCTTCATTTAGCAGAGAAGGAAAAACAAACAAGAAACAGGAGATCTGCACTAGCTATTGAGTGTTTTGTTTCTTCTCACACACTTTTTGAATCATTGTTACTGGTGTAACTGGATTGCTGCCTATATACTGTCACGCTTTCCTGTCACTGCCTTCTTCCACACTGTAAGGATCTTGGGAACCACCCTGAAAATATGAATATTTTCATATAGTTTCCTTCTAATTAAATTTATGTCAGACAGTGGGGCACCCAGGTGGCTCAGTGGGTTAAGCCTCTGCCTTTGGCTCAGGTCATGCTCTCAGGGTCGAACCCCACATCGGACTCTCTGCTCAGCGGGGAGCCTGCTTACTGCCACCACACTGCCTGCCTCTCTGCCTACTTGTAATCTCTGTCAAATAAATAAATAAAATCTTTAAAAAAAAACAAAAACTAAAATTATATCAGACAAGGATCAGTTTTATATTATCAAACAGTTAATTCACAAGCAACTTTAGAGGCTTGCAATTTAGTTGAGAAGACATTTATATAATTTTATTATGTATTTTTCTGTATTGTGTTTATTATATAAATGTATCATTTTTATATAATAAGAAAGACAAAGAGCAATGCAAGGCTGTGTGTGACTGTTACAGATAATAAATAAATGAGGTAAGGTGTTTTTGTAGTCAATTAGAAAAACAGCAGCCTATCAAGATTCTTGATCATTTCTAGTGAGAGAAACTCATATCTTCTTTTCCCCTTTCTCTTCTCTATATAGATAAACATAGATAAGTATCACATGATTATTTGAAGATTAAAATTTCATTTTGATTTGGCTTTTCTGGGTGGAAAACGTTTACCTCATTTTACACTTTTGAGCATGAATTGTCTCTCTTTCTAGGTATAATCAGTTTCTACTCTTAAGCATACAGATTTTATGAATAATATTCAGTGCAGAAAGAGCTCTAAAAAAAAATTGTGCAGGTAGGGTTTTGTTATAGTCTTATGTAGAGCACAGGCAGGAGATAAGAACAAAGGCACATCAGAGGAAATGTAATGGTGGGCAGAGCATTTCATCTCATTTGCCTCCACCAAAGAGCTTGCATTTAGCAGAGAAAGAGAAACAAAACAAACAGGAGATCTGCACTAGCTATTGAGTGTTTCATTTCTCATCACTGCTAGTTACATTTGAATGGAACCATTACGCTCTTTTTGGTGTGTAACTAAGCCCTTTTTTTCCTCCAAAAGGAAAATCTTGAATTTTGTGTTTGAAAACACAATGAGATGTTTTTGACATTCTGCAGTTCATTTTGGAAATCACCATCTTAAAACCCATTGCCTTTCAGTAAGTTGGTAAAGGATGTACAATACTTGTCATTTTTACACAAAATAGTCCCTTAGATAGTCTCTAGTGTGTATAAGATATACACACCTTTTAGCATCTGTTTTTACCAGGCAGTTTACAGCATTAGGCTCAATGTTGTGATGAACAACTGAATGGGGATGAAATGCTGAGCACTCTTACAATGGATTTTTATTAAAAAAAAAAAAAAGTAAGCTCTTCACAGCTTCTTTTTGATACTTTTCCATAAAGATTGTAAGCCAGCATATTTGTCAGTACGTAATTAAGGCAACATTCTCTTTAAATGTTCAAGTTCTTCCAAAAATGGGGATGGACTTGACGAACCAACTGATGATTCTCCTCTTGAGCTAGGATTGTATATTTTTTTGTACAGGGAAATCTGTTTTTACAAATGTATTACTAACTATTCTTACAAATATATGTCTACAGGGTTGTTAGAATTAAGAATCACTGGGAGTAGGGGTGCCTGGGTGGCTCAGTCATTAAGCGTTGGCCTTTGGCTCAGGTCATGATCCCAGGGTCCTGGGATGGAGCCCCACCTCGGGCTCCCTGCTCAGCAGGAAGCCTGCTTCTCCCTCTTGCTCTCCCCTGGTTTGTGTTCCCTCTGTCGATATCTCTCTCTGTCAAATAAATAAATAAAATCTTAAAAAAAAAATTGCTGGGATCATATTTTCAGTATTTACTTATTATTTGACTAAATTTCATACTATTCAGCTCAGCTCAGAGAAGGAGATTTAATAGGTTTGTTTTCTTATTCTGCTACTACTGTACTTGGGTTTTTGGTCTAGTGGTCATAAAATATTCCCAAGATATATGTTCCCTTAGGATCCCCAAGCCAAAATAATAAAATCACTTAAATTAAACTTTTAATACACAAAATTCAGATTCTAGGCTGACATACTTTGGCCGTGTGCTAAAAATTAAATGAACAAATACCAAACAAAGCAAAGCTGGCCAAGGCTTTGACTTTTGAAGAATGTCAGCCAATGGTATACACTCTAAATATTCTTTTTCCTTCTCTTGGCCTGAAAATACTTTAGGACAGAAGCTATCATGCCCACTTTTCATTTAAAAATGTTTAGTTTTCATGTCTTTTCTCGGGTTGTAATTCTTTTGGACCAGTTTTTGTCTGTTAGATAAATAATACCCTGTATAATGCATGCTGACTAATTAATCGTTTGTAACTTCCCAGGTGCTGATTACGATGAATGTGATTTGGAGAAATTCTGTTTCCTGTCTAAGGATAAAAAAGGTGCCACATAGATACCAAAGTGGTAATCACCCAATGGTCCCTCTGGGATCAAGGATTTTAACTGATCCAGCCAAAGTTTTTGAACACAACATGTGGTGAGTTATCTTTTGACATCTGATGTTATAGATAGATAGAAAGATAGATAGATAGATGATAGATAGATAGATAAAACATTGGTATATTTTCTTTCTTTCTTTTTTTTTTTTTTTTTAAAGATTTTATTTATTGATTTTACCGAGAGAGAGTGAGAGAAAGATAGAAAGCCCGAGTGTGGGGGCGCCTGGGTGGCTCAGTGGGTTAAGGCCTCTGCCTTCGGCTCAGGTCATGATCCCAGGGTTCTGGGATCGAGCCCCACATTGGGCTCTCTGCTCTGCTCGGTGGGGAGCCTGCTTCCTCCTCTCTCTCTGCCTGCCTTTCTGCCTACTTGTGATCTCTGTCTGTCAAATAAATAAATAAAATCTTTAAAAAAAAAAAAAAAAAAAAAAAGAAAGCCCGAGTGTGGGAAGGGGAAGAGGGAGGAGAAGCAGACTCCTTGCTGAGCAGGAAGCTTGATGTGGGGCTCGATCCCAGGGTCCTGGGATCAAGACCTGAGCCATACACAGATACTTAACCTGTTGAGCCTCCTGGGCTCCCCAGCAGTGGTGTATTTTCACGTAGAGCCAAGAAAAGATTTTTAAAGTTGATCAGTGTTGTTGAAGTCTGAAAGGCAGGGTAACTGATCCTAACTTAGCTGTAGCCAATTCTGAATTTCTTTGCAAATAGAATTGATAAAATGACACTTCCCAAGTGCTTTCCACAGCTTTGGGGTTCTTGCAGACCCTCCCTGCTCACAGCTGGTCCTCATTTGCCAGAATATTGTGGGAAGCGAGGCTGTTTTCTAGGTAGAGCCCTCCTCCTGCCCTGCAGGACCTTCCACCTTTTACAAGTACTTGTCCATCAGCAAATGTGTATTCTGTACCTGCGCACCTGCCCTTACTGAGACCAAGGGAAACACACTGGTTTGACCCTACTCTATGCTTTCAGGAAATCTGTCCTCTATTTGGAAAGGTAGACAATTATAGGAAAAATTGATAATTAGCAATACATGGCAGCAAATTGTAAGGGACCAATGTGTTCTTATAAGGCATATACAGTGTTTATCTTATAAGAACAACTCCGGGGCGCCTGGGTGGCTCAGTGGGTTAAAGCCTCTGCCTTCGGCTGAGGTCATGGTCCCAGTGTCCTGGGATCGAGCCCCACATCGGGCTCTCTGCTCAGCAGGGAACCTGCCTCCTCCTCTCTCTCTCTGCGTGCCTCTCTGCCTACTTGTGATCTCTATCTGTCAAATAAATAAATAAAATCTTTAAAAAAAAAAAAAAAGAACAACTTAACTGTGCAAAAACACTTCTGTTTTGACATAGGAAGATTTCTTTTTTTTCTTTTTTCAGTTTCCATTTTATTGACATATAATTGATATGTAAAGAAAGACTTCTTTAAGTGGAGAAATTGAGATCAGGATAATTTATTCTGTCTCCAGTACATAGTACAGTGCCTGACACATAAATATTTGTGAAGTAATGACTTGGATAGTTAAGGCTGGAATAAGGGCATTCTTGATGGGTAGAAATTCATAAAACATAGAGATAAAGAAGTATGAGGCATATGCAGAAGACCGTGAACAGGATATCGCCTAAAATAAAAACTGTCCTAGGAGATTTATAAACGATAAAGTGTTGGAATGATATAGGCCAGGTATGGGGGTTGGGGGGGGTAAGATTGCATGAATTTTTGAATTCACAGCTGAAATGAGAGACATTACAGAAGCCCCTGAAGAGACATGACATTATACATGGGCTATTAAGTACTGTGTATGTATTTGGTTAACATTACGCTAACTAGACAGATCAACAGGTAGAACTAGAAGCAGGAAAGTGCCATTGAGAGAGATTTTGAAGGAAGAATAAATAGAGCTTGGTGCTTTTGTAGAATAAAGGAAAACAAAATATTTGGCTATGAAGTTTTGATCCTTGGTGACTAATAAAAACTTATTAATTAGTCCCACATTATACGATATGTTGCCACTAGCCAGAGGTGGTTATTGAGCACTTGAAACCTGAGTAGTCTCAATTGAGATATGGTGTAACATTTTGAAGACTTAGCACCATCTTCTTGGAAACCTCTGTATCATGAGAGCCAAGTGGAAGAAGAAGCAAATGTTCAGGCTGAACTGTAAAAGAAGAAAGGTGAGGCAGAGGTTCGAGTAAACCACTAGCTTGTGCACCCATGGAAGCCACAGGAGCAGAAATAAGGAAAGCCAAAGCCAGGGACACTGGTACAAATTGTTGAACTGAATATCCACTTTCTAGAACATCCATCACCATCTGATCTCAAGGACCATCTTTGAGAGACCTATCTTGCTTATACCAAAACATACTCTTTTGGTCTTTTGCCCTGGACCAGTGACTTTCAAGACTAATTCTGTTTTTATTTGTGGCTGACTATAAGACATGTACAATAAATCATCTCTTCTGTCTTAGCTAAAGGGAAAAAAACAGTACAAAAAGAAAAGGTAAAATATATCATTAACATTTTTTATACTGACTTGCGTGTTGATATTATTTTGGAAATATTGAATTAAAATACGTTATTAAAATTTCATTTCTTCTAGTATTTTTAAACATGGATACTAGAAAATCTTAAATTACATCTGTGGCTGACATTGTACTTTCTTGGACAGTTCCTGAATTAAACTACTTTGCCTGCCATCACTAATATGGACAGTTAACAGTAGGTTGTGAGATCATTGCTAGGCAATTAAACCTCCACAGGAACTTCTGGTCCTAGACAAGCTATTCGTCTACCAGGGTTTTTTTTGTTTTTTTTGTTTTTTTTAAAGATTTTTTTAATTTATTTATTTGTCAGAGAGAGTGAGCACAGGCAGACAGAGTGGCAGGCAGAGGCATAGGGAGAAGCAGGCTGCCCGCCGAGCAGGGAGCCCGACGCGGGACTCGATCCCAGGACGCCGGGACCACGACCCAAGCCGAAGGCAGCCGCTCAACCAACTGAGCCACCCAGGCATCCTGTCTACCAGTTTTTTATTCTTCATTAGAGTCTAGTGAGTTAGCTGTCTGTGTTCTCTTTTTCTATCTGCTACCACCGACTCTTTTGTTTAAGGTTCCTGCCTACCCATTTAAGTTCTGTTTTGTCATAGGCTCTCAGGGAAGCAAGGGTCCTCTGGGTCAATGCCCCTCAAGCACTGTGGGCTAGCTTTGGGATGCTGCACAAGAGTCCCTTGGGCTAGAGGTATGGCCTAGGAATTCGTAATTTGAAAAAGCTCTTTTAGTAGTTCTGTTGAGCAGCCAGGTTTAGGACTCTTTAATTCAGTCCAGTGGTTTTCAAACTTTTCTTTAGCAGTAGAATTTTTTTTCCAAGTGAAGTCCTAACATGGAATACCAATATTGTGGATTGGGATCTTAATGAAGCATGTATAGAGGCCTGGGGCATCAACAGCTCCACTTCCCATATCTCCCCTCACCCCCTCAGTGTAGCAGCTTCAAGGATTTTTGGGTTCTGTTGATCAAAGTTTGAAAAACCTTGATCTAGTCTCAATAGCTATCCTCTGCCACAGCATACCCCCTTAAAGGGTATACAGCCTGTGCCAGGATACTTGTAGTGGACCCTCTCCAGAAGCAGATTCATACCGTAATAATAAAATAATTTCCTCCAAATGAAGAGGAGAGTATTTGCCTCCTATCATCTCCTTAGGTACCTATTGTTTTGTTGTTTTAGTTTTTGTTTTTTAGGGGCCTCGGGGGTTTTGTTTGTTTTTCTTTAAAGTGAAGATTTGTAAGTTAAACTGAAAAACAGAAGACTGGTTGACTTTCTCCTTCCTTCAAGTCCAGAGTTCTGTCCAAAAGTTCTGACCCTTATTTTCTCCTTTGTATTTAAGAGTAATGTTTCCTCTCTTGCTGAATTTTGATTTTAAAAAGGTGTTTCTAGAAAACTACCGTACCTGTCAGTTTTCTCTCAGAGATGTAGAATTGTCTACAACTTATTTTTCCGTTTAGCCTCTAGTTTAGTTAGTACTATTTATATATGACTCTCTTTTTAATAAAAAATGTTTTTGAGGAAAAAATTAAGATACCCATTTTTTATTCAGTTTCTAATATCTTGAGAAAGAGTTGCCCTCAAGATTCTGTATATTTGTGTTACTAGTATTTACATCTCCCTATAGTCTTATTTTTTAATAATTGAGCAAAGTGAATTTCACATAGCATAAAAGTAACTTTTAAAGTGAACAGTTCAGTGGCATTATTTACATTCATGATTTTATGCAACTAGCACCTCTGTCTTGTTCCAAAATATTTCTGTCAATCCCACGTAAAGTCCTTTACCCATTAAGTGGTTTATCTTCATACTCCCTTTCCCCAGCCCCTGGCAATCACCAGTCTGTGTTCTAGCTCCATGGATTCACCTCTTCTGGATATTTCATTTAAAAGGGATCATACAATATGTGATCTTTTGTGTGTGGCTTCTTCACTTAGCATAATGTCTTGGAGGTTCATCCACATTGTAGCATGTGTCACTACTTCATTTCTTTTTATGACTGAATAATATCCCATTGTATGTATATACCACAACTGGTTTACCCATTCATCCACTGATGAACATTTGGGCTATTTCCACCTTTTGGCTCTTGTGAATAGAGCTGCTGTGAACATGCATGTTCATGTACTTGTTTCAGTCCTTGTTTTCAGTTCTTTGAGGTATATACCTGGGAGTGGAATTTCAGGGTCATATGATAAATCTGTGATAACTTTTTGAGGGATTGCCAAGCTGTTTTCCACAGTGACCGAAACATTCTACATTCTGCTTTAAGTCTTTTGATTATATTTAGCAAAGTTTTTAATTTGGGGGGGTGTGGGGTGGGCAGGGTTCTAACTATATCGAGCAAATTCCGGTTACTTGGAAAAATCATTCCTTATTTCACACTGTTCTTGGTTTAAGTGTTTAGTAATTTTTCAGAAGATCTCTGAAATTTATAAGGAAGTAATAAACACATATAATTGTATGATCAAATCAGCTAGGCCAGTGCCTTTCAAGCATTTTACCATGA